CACCCCGCAGCGAAAACTGTCACTGATCATGTTTAGATATGGACTCCGAGGTATTAGATTAGAAGAGAGAATGCACGAGATGGGAGTGTAAAAGAGACCAAGTTGCAAAGGCAATCTTAATGGGAAGCCGTGGAGGTTTAGGGCTGGAAGGAGTACGGGCACCTTTTATACAAACCCAATTTGTTCTCCCCAACACAACCACACACCATGCACAACTAACATGCATGTGTGCATGCACACACACATACACAAACACACACACACACACACACACACACACGCACGCACGCACGCACGAACGCACGCACGCACGCACGCACGCACGCACGCACGCACGCACACTCCAACAGTTTCATATACAAAGCCTACCTCATTCAGAGAACACATAGGCACATAGGCAGGAGATCATTGGTCATTTACTCCACTTAGAAGGTTCCAAGGGCTCATTTTCACCTGCTTATTATAACGCTGCTAAATAATGTCAAAAAATAAATATCCACTCAAAAATCTCAACTCACTGATACAATAGGTTGAGTAAGCGCCATATTAATCAGATCACAGGGGTTGTCTTTCTCTACATATGCTCTTTATTTGGGGAAGTATTTTTCAGGTTCTGCATTAATGATGTTCTGGGATGAGTAATTCAATCTTCAGGCAAATTATTAGGGGAGGCTGCCTCATTCATGTGTGATGCTTGACAGCACCATTACCCAAGAGTTGACAAAAATCATTTCCCTAGTCATCTCCAGATGTCTCCAAGGGTCAACCTCCCCTGCTTAACTGAGAACATCTAATTAAATGATTCTAATAAATACTACCTTTAGTGTTACTATAGTATAATTGACTAATTATTAATTAACATACATCAGGAAGGGATGAACACTGTGGCTCAATTTTTGCTAGCTTTACTTTGGGTTTCTATTACTGTCAATCAATGTCTACATTTAAAAGAACAACTGAATTTACATTATGTATGGAGTTGGTACGCATTTCAATTGTTCTGCCTAAAACTTGGGAGAGACCATAGCATGGATGGAAAAGAGGATGAGCTTTCAGAATGTAAAAGGTTGGGCTTGGCTGCACATGGACATCAGGTTGGAGCTGGTTAGCAGTCCTCTCCATATTTGAAGTTTTGTCAGTGTAAAATAAAGAATGTAACAGTTATCCTGTGGAGAAGCTTTGAGAACTTCATAAAACATGATTGTAATATTTTTGGTTGTGAGCCTAGCCTTTAATGGCTGAGCCATCTCTCCAGCAACATGATTGTAATAAACAAAGTAATGGTAAACAATAGGCACTCAATATTGGCTTACCCTAAGGACCATTTCATTCTAAAAGAGCATTGCCCTATGACTGAAAACAAGCCCCAGCTTCCTGTGAGGATAATCAGCAAAGCTCAGTAGAGAGTAATGATAATACTGCTCTGCTAGGATAGCTTTTGTTTTTCATGGCATTTTAAGTTGCCTTTCTACTCTATCTACTGTTTGTCTTTATCAAATCCTTAAGTATGTCTTGTGTCCTAGGAAAGTGTGAAAAGCCTTTCTCACAATATATCTCCTCTCTAGAGTCTTCCCGTCTTCTTTTTCAATCTAAACAAATAATGGGCCCAGCTACACACTAGACATTTCTGTGATTTCTCATCTGAGATATGACCCTGCAACTGTTCCTGGGTCTCTTGGTTTCCCTGAGTTTTGCTAGTGGGCCTCCTGTATGAAAGGTGAAAATTTTTATGCACATACAACTGTAAACATTGGTCATGGATGAGGATATGTCCCAGATTTTCCATATCCCTGATTCTCCAGACCTGGAGAGCACATAGCTCAACATGCTGACTAAATTACAGAGACAGAAAGACTCATGTTTTCTCTGCTTCAAACTTTATTTTCAATTCTATAAAATATAATTTAATGCAACTCTCTTTTCTAGAGTTTTCTAAATCATATCTGAGATTCAGAAGAAGGTGGGGTTCATGGCATCATTTAGTCTCTCACATAACTCTTGGCAGGATATAAAGATTCAGCAATACAAGAAAAGGAGAACTGGCAGTCTGCTCACAGAGCCCAGCTGACATTGGAACCTAAGAATCTTTTGAGGAGCGAGCCTATGTCCACACTCATTGCCTTGTGATTCGACACATTTTGGTGGCTTTAAACACCATCTATAATCTGTAGACCCCTAACTTTTGATTTGTAGCTTGGGCCTCTTCCCTGAAACCTGTTCTACCCTTCCTGCCCAACATCTCCACCTAGAATCCTGAGTGCAAATCTCTGATACAAGGGTCCAGCATCAAGCCACAGTGAGCCTTGAAGCTTGCCCCCTCATTGGCAGGATGAGGCTGTCATCACATCAAACATCTTGGAGTCATCTTTCATTTCTTTCTCTAAGGTAGCATATCTCAGCCTATGGGCTACAAACTCCTTTGGAATCAAATGAAACTTTCACACGTATCTCTTATCAGATACCCTACATATCAGATATTTTCATTAAGATTTATAACGGTAGAAAAACTACAGTTATGAAGTAGCAATAAAAATAATTTTATGGTTGAGGGTCTCCACGATATGAGGAACTGTGTTAAAGGGCCGCAGCATTGGGAAGGTTGAGAACCACTGTTCTAAAGCTTCATTCACATACAGACTAGCAACAAATCCAGTTGGCAATTCAAACTTACCCAGAATCTGACTGTATACCCCTGCAGCTCAGTTCCCACCCTCCCCACACCAGCCCTGAGACTCACCCATCCCTTCTACTTTTGTGCCTCCAGAGAATCTGCTCACTACGGCAACCTGAGTGATCCCCTTCAAACCTAAGTTGGATCAAGGTCTTGTTCTATCCATGAAACTGTGATTTTCCTCATATGTCACTCAGAGAAGAATCTATGCTCTGTGGAATGGCTTTACCTAGCCTGGACTCTCTTAACCTCAGATTTTTATCTCTAATTATGTTCCCCACTGTTGCTGCAATCCAGCTACCAGCCTCCTTGCCACATCTTGGACATACCCTACTTTATGAAAATATGTATTTTGTCTGGATCGCTAGCAATCATATGGTTATTCCCCTTTCTTCTTCGAGTCTTTGCTCAAACCTCAGCTGTCTATCAAAAGTCAACTTCACTTCAATTTAAAACTGAACCACCCTCCACTTCTGATCTCTTTATCTTTATCTCAGACAAATTCTTATTCATTTGCTTGTTTACTGCATCAATTGCTGTCTCTTCTACAGCATGCAAGCCATAGGCGGGTGATGGTCTTTATTTCAGAAAGCCATATACTGAACAATTAGAGTGGTACCTGACATACAGTAGTTGTTTACTGAATAGTTATCAAGCAAGTGCATTAAATGATCTCATTTTCTGAGACTCTCTAGGAGAGTCTAAATGGACCCAGTAGCTAGTACATAGAATGAGTTTACTGAAGGGTTGGAAATGTTCAGATGGGAAGTGATATAAGCTCAAGGCACTGAGGCTCTAGAATGATGTTGAAGTACACACATGGGGTCAAGGTTGAGCGTGTGTGTGTGTGTGTGTGTGTGTGTGTGTGTGTGTGTGTGTGTGTGTGTGTTTGCAAATGAAATTGGTAGCTCCAGAGAGCAGGGCTGATTAAATGAAATGTAGATAGTTGGGGAGGAGGAAACATGCTTACAGCAAAACAGGGAGTGTGGAGGGTAACGGCTGTAGCCAGAAAGGGCCACTTCTATATATTTTAAAATACTAACGAATGAAAACAGAACTAATTGATAACAACTGCTTAATAAATAGATCCAGGAAAATTCTAAGGGTACTTTGAGTTCTTGGTAAAATCATATTTAATTAGAATAGGATATTTTCAGAATGTAAAATGCAAATACCTAGAATCATATAAAAATAAAAATTCACATGAAGGAAAAAATCAAATAATATATTTACATTTTATCGTAGAAAGACACATAACTTAACAATGTATTTCAGAAAGAAGTAGTCATGTATAGAAGTATAATAAAAGATGTTATTTTACATGTCAAATACAAAGTTAACTTTTTCTTAAAAAGTACTTCCTCCCCCAAAATATCAGCTGGTGTACTGAGACACACATACTCAGCCCCAAAGCACACAAGAGCTTACACAATGCCTTTGAAAATAAATTTTTAAAGTTAATCAAGAGCATTAAAACACCCCCATGTTTTTGGCCAACAGTACTACTTCTAGAAGTAAATGCCAAGAAAAATTCATAAATGTGGACAGAGATTTATATGAAAGTTTCAGTATGAGGGAAAACAACCCACCCCAAAAAACACTCTAATGATTACATAGAGCTAGGCGTCTCTGCAGAGCAGAGTGGCAGACAGCCATCTGCAATTCCATTTATGGAGCATGCTGATGGCATGGGAACTGTTATGTTATAAGGTCAAATGAAGGTCAAAGCACATGGGGACAATACCACTGAGGACATACATCTCAACTTACAATTGTAAGAATTATCACATAATACATTTTATTTCATCTCTACCAGGGTTGTTAAAACATTCAATGAAAAGGCTGCAAAGATGGCTTTGTATTTAAGAACACCTACTGCTCTTGCTCTTGTACAGGATCTAAGTTCAGTTCCCAGCACCCAAATTAAGTGTTTCACAGGTGATTGTGAATGTTTCAAAATCTAAATGTTTTTCACTCAAAGCATTTTTGTTTTCACGAGGCATTGGGTATAAGAAAACAATCATCAGGGTCTATATGAATAGCTCATCTAAACAATATGTTTCTAACTTATTCTTCTACTCCATATGAAAATAGCAATGTTTTTCACTTTCCTTCAAAAATTCAATGAATAGGCTCTCTGATCCTCCCTGTTCCAGATACAGCCGCATTTTCTTGCTCAATGCCAGCCTCATCTCTGAGACAAGATGGTGAACGTTGGAGTGAACAGATTTGGCCGTTTTGGATGCATAGTTATCAGGGCTGCCATTGCATCTGGCAAAGTGAACATTATTGCCATCAATGTCCTCTTCATGGGCCTCAACTACAAGCCATGTTCCAGTATGACTCTGCCCATGGCAAGTTCAACGGCACAGTCAAGGCCGAGAACAGGAAGCTTGTCATCAATGGGAGGCTGTCATCACCTTCTTCCTGGAGTGAGATCGTACCAACATCAAACCGGGTGATGCTTGTGCCAAGTCTGTTGTGAAAGCTACTGGTGTCTTCAGCACCATGGAGAAGTCCAGGCCCACTTAAAGGTTGGGATCAAAAGGGTCATCATCTCCATCCCTTCTGCTGATGCTCCCATGCTTATGATGGATATGAACCAAAAGAAGGATAACAATTCACTTAAGGTTGTCAGCAATGTTTCTTGCACCTCCAACTGCTTAGCCCCCCTGGCCAAGGTTATCCATGACAACTTTGGCATTATGGACAGTTTGGACCATAGTTCACACCATCATTACCACTCAGAAAACTGCACAGCCCCTCCAGGAAGCTGTGGTATGACAGCCATGGGGATGTCCAGAACATTATCCCTACAGACACTGGTGGTGCCAAGGCTGTGGGAAGCTCACTAGCATGGCCTTCCATGTTCCTACTCCCAATGTGTCCATCATAGATCTAACATACTGCCGGAAAAAGCTGCCAAGTATGATGAAATCAAGAAGGTGGTGAAGCAGGCATCGAGGGCCCACTAAAGGGCATCCTGGGCTACATACACTGAGGACCAGGTTGTCTCCTGTAGCTTTAACAGTGACACTCATTCTTCTACCTCTGATGCAGGAGCTGGCATTGTTCTCAATGACAACTTTGTAAAGCTCATTTCCTGTTATAACAATGAATATGGTGGCCATTGTGTACATGGCCCCCAAGGAGTAAAAAGCCCTGGTTCATCCACCCTTGGAAGGACACAGAGCAAAAGAGAGGCCCTCTGCTGCTGAGCAGTCCCTGTTCCAACTCAGCCCCCAACACTGAGTATCTTCATAGTTTCCATCCCAGAATAATGGGGGGGTGCTTAGGGAGCCCTACTCTCCTGAATATCATCAATAAAGTTCACTGCACTCTCCCAAAAATTCAATGAATATTGTTATTTTATAGATGTATTTTATGTGTGTCATGTGTGTGCAGGTACCTGTGGAGGCAAGAAGAGTTGGACTTTGATGAAACTACCCCGTGGGTCTGTTATGAGTGCCCTATCTAGGGTAAGATGTTGGTTCACGCCTCTCCAGAAAAAGTCTCCCCAATTCACTCAAATTTTGTTTCCTATTCCTTCTCTCTCTGCAGCACAGCAGGCTAAGGACGAAAGAAAGAACAAAGTTCTTTGGGCACAGCATTTACATTGAATAGGCCAAGAGGTAGTTACCCTTCAGCACACATCCCCCAGGTTGCTTATCTGAGGTCCCTCTGGTAACCAGCAGGTGACCCATGACAGATGTTGAGCTGAACTGGAGAATGAACAAGTGGCACTGAAAAACAAAATGAGTCCAGGTATATATAAAAGCCTGAGTTTATCCAAACCAAGACAGAAATGTCCTGCATCTCTACTTCCCAGGGTCTGGTTTGGATTCTGAGGGCAATTTAGAGTAAATCAAAGGTCTATATTAACATTCAGATGGACTCCATGCACAGACATGGTTGCCCAAACAGAAGAGCTGTCAGAGAAGGATTTTACACTCCCTCCTCCTGCAAAGAGCATTCCAGGAGATAGTCACTTACAGGATTGTTTCAGAAACCTGTGCCCTGACCCACAATAGGCACTCAACAGATATGTCCTTCCCCCGTGTCGTTACATGGCTATATCCTCAAGTTTTGGAGCTTCTCCAATTATGTAGACATAATTAAGATTACCAGTCTGCAAATTGGAATAGAGAAGGGAGAGGAAGAGGAAAGAAATGTGAAGAGGCAATGGAAGAAGGGGAAGTGGTAAGTGAGAAAGAGGAGGAGGTGGGGATATTAAAATATATGGAGCAAGCATAGTGGGGCCAAGTGTGCTTCTCACTCATCCCTGACAGCTGCCCATGTGGAAGGCACCATCAGGCTAATAGTGCTGCAGAAGAGCCAAGACAACAGCAGAAGAAAGCCACATGCATGGCCCTGGCCCCAGAATCTTATGTAACCCAAGTCTGCCCAGGCTCCAAATTCCATGTTTTCATTTATCATCTTGTACCAGGATGACAATGTAGCCCAGGCTGCCTCCAAATGCTGATAGGTGTCTTCAGCTTCTCTGAGTGTTTGGATTAAAGGCATATCTAGCCTCCTACCATTATAGCCTTTGTCACCCAAAGCACCCAGAAATAGGAAATAAGCCAGAATGCTTATGTCCTTAGTCCCACTTGCCAGATTTAGACATAGAGGAAAATATTCAAAGAAATGATGCTGGCGTATATTGGAAAAAGGACCCACTTGGAGAAACGGGGGCCAAGACTCTAATTCAGACTCTGCTAGCAGCTTTATAGAGGGATGCTGACTAAGCAACTGTCCTTCTCTGACCCTCAGTATCCTCACCTACAATCTGTGAGTACTTGAATTAATCAGGGACACATGAGCCCCACCCCCAACTTGGCCCTATGCTCTAGAAGGCAAGCTGAAATTTGGGAAACCTGTATTTTTCAAGCCTTCAGCCCAACGCAAAACTCTTTCTCATCCATGCAGCCCAAGCTAGAGATGACAGTCAAGAAACTTGAATGGAGGGGCTAGGGAAGTGTTCGGTGGTTTAGAGTGATTCCTGCTCTTACAGAGAACCTGAGTTTGGCGTTTGGTTCAACATACCCACAACAGGCAGCTCATACCTTCTTGTAACTTCAGCTCCAGGGGATCACATTCATGGGGGATCCACATGCATGCGCACATACTCTGTGTGTGTGTGTGTGTGTGTGTGTGTGTGTGTGTGTGTGCATGCACACACACAAATTGAAATTTTTAAAAATAAAAATAAAATAAGGAAACTTGAATGGAGAAGGGACAGAATGCAGTCCCCGATCAGCTTCAGCCAAATGAGGATATTATTCTGCAGATTCTATTTGCCAGAGGAAAATTACATTCCATAACACCCGGAGGGGGAGGAGAAGGGAGGAAGCTGCTGCTTCCAATGAGGACTTCATTCCAGAAATCCCACATGCTGGCCTCACAAGAGCTCTAGTGTGATAAAGAGATGACTATTTCGGATGAGAGGATCCAGTCCTCAGGGAGAAGTGGGAGGAGGACAAGGCCAGGGCTCTCTCCCAGTGAAGTGCAGCTCAGCCCTCAATTGCGATATGGACTCTGCATTCCCAGAGTAATGATTTAAACCTGGTGAAGCCAAAAACCTGTCGCCATTAAGTATGTTTTCAATTGGGAAATGGAAGCACATAGGTCCTGGCAGCAAAACAGGAAAGCAAGTCTTCATTGGAGCTTGAGAGTTCACACCCACATCTGGGTCTGGCAGCACAGCTGCTGCCAGCCCCAGCAGAGGTTTTCTCTGCCTCTCAGTCTCAGAATTCAGATAGTGAGGACACCATTTTCTTAGTAAATTTCCAGGTTTTAAAAAAAATTGCCAGAACTTGGAAAACGGCTCAGTTGGTAAAGTGTTTGCTATATAAGCATGACAACCCAAGCTCAGTTCCCTCTGTATGAAATCTAGGCACAGTAGAGCATGTCTGTAATCCCAGAACTAGGAAATGGAGACAGGGACTAGCTGATACAGGTACAGCAAGAAACTCTATCTAAAAACTAGTTTAGAGAACTACTGAGAGAGACTCCTGTCCTACTCTCATTCTTATTGGTATGATATATATCCTGGAAGGGTGGGGGGAACAATGTAGGGGGTCTTATACTTCCAAATTATAGTTCACTATTTTGCTAAAGTGAAAGCATCCACCATCAAGAGTAAAGAATAAATGCATCCTTGCTTCCTTACTCTCAGCAAGCTTTCTCCTCTTTTATACTCTCAGGACTCACTGCCAAGGAGATGGTATCACCCACGATGGGCTATGTCTTCTACTTCAATCACTAATCAGGCAATCCCTCATAGACATGTTTATAAGTAAACCTGATCTAGATAATTCCTTACAAAAACTCAATTCTCAGGTGATTTTAGATTGTGTCAAGTTCACAGATAAAACCAAACCAACACAATACCTAAAGTCAACCTCTAGCTTAAACAAACACACATACATGTATGCACGAATAAATATGTACAAACACATGCACAAAAGTATACCATAAAATCTGTTATTTCCATTTTCAACTAAAAAATATAAGTGATTCCTCCCATTTGTGTTACTCCTCCTAAGTTTTTCCTGATCTCGCCTTTCTCTGAACACTTCACCCTCAACCTTCAATCTTCCATCTATGACCTAGGAAGAGAGAACTTGAACACCCAAGTGTGTAACCAAAACTATCCCTTTTAAATCCTTCTAAGCATGGTAGAATGATATTGGACTGATGTGTCCTTTTCTTCCAAGCTCTGTTCATCACAGGATCTCACTCTTTCCCTCTTGCCTTGTTTTAACCATCATGGAAAATGAAAATCCCAAGAAAACCTTGACCTATAGCCAGGAAACAATGGGTATGGTCTTAGTCCTCATATGGTTTCGAATCTAGGCAATACTCCTTCTTGGTAAAACAGAAAATGTATGGAAAGAGCTTAGTGTGGGGTTATCATGGATTGCTCTGTTCCTTTCAGTCTTCCTTCTGTGTGAAAATGATCATTGGTACTCAAAGGTGGGGAACATAGAGGATGCCATGGGCAACATTGGTGATGAGACCGGGGCGTCTGAACAGTCTCCTTGCCCAGATGGCTTAAGGACAGGTTTCTGAGAGATGCAATAACACTGTTAGAGCTTGATAGTCTCAGGTAGAAGGAAGGGGACACTTTGCCAAAGTGTAGGAAAGCAGAATAAATGTTGGGATGCCAAAATATGTGGTAGTTAGAGAGTTTAGAGTGTGGTCAGTGATGACGGTCCCTTGAGCCAATAGAGCTAGCCTAGAAAAAGTGCTCAAAAATGCAGACTGCTATAAAATGAGCTAATCTGTTTGAAAAGGTATTAGTTCTTTACTGAAACCCTTTTATCCTATCATTTTGCCCCACTCCCATCTGGCCAGAAGGCAGAGAGGGAGACCTGACTCCCATCCCTGTATATTCTGGTTCACCCAGGGACTCTGAAACCTGGGGAAATGTTAGTCAATGTGAGACAGTATCCT